TAAGCACATATATTAAGATGCGTTACTATCATGGTAGTCAACTTAAGTTTTCTCAATTACAACGTATTTGTTTGCTTGAAATTGAAGTTTCAATTCCATTTTAATACCACTGGCAAAAATGATAATGGAAGGGATTAAAAGTTAGCAGGTATGCATACGGAATAATTTTAAAAGTTTAAGCAGACTACCATAATTGTATTGCATATTAATATATATGATTATATTTTCTTTAAAAATAGTGGTGGTTAAAAAGATTATAAATTTAGTTTATAAATGCAGAACAGACATTTTACTACCAATTTGAACATAGAAATAAAATTTTGCGCCAAACGCGTAAAATTTGGCAGGTATATATATATATTCTCCCAAATTTCTCCCGGTACTTGATCCAGGAGTTCCATTGTCTTCTGGATTGGGTTCAAAATTAGAATGCTACGGAGTTGAACATTGGTAGCCGCAAGCCCAAAATTGAGTCAGCTGTTTAACGACGGTTATGAAATAAAATATCAAAGTTCATTGAATAGTCCATCTGCTTAAAATGTCGAATCATCATTTTTTTATACCTCAAAAAATAATTGAAAACTTGATTGAATTATTTTGGTTCGAATTAAAATATTTAAGTACAATGACAAATTTTTTGATTTGGAAAAATTTCAAATTTTTGAATTCCACTTTAAATTTAAAATAGAAAATAAATCTAGATTGAATGGTTTTTGTGATCGGAATTCAAATAAAAAATAATCAAATAATTGTTTTTCCACGCTCTTATACAAGTTTTACCTATTATGAATGATAACGCGCTCTATATCTCTTGTTTCATAATCTCTATTATCATTTTAAGCATTCAGTGAAAGTGGTAAATGTCATTATTTCTGAAATTGATATATTACGTAGTTTATCGGAAAATCAATACACTCGTAACTTATTTATTTACTAAACATTGCTGAAGCAGCTGTTTTTGTTTCCGGAGAGGATTCTTTGAATCAAACGGAGTTTATTAAGTTTTTATTATTGAATTAGTCTAAACATTCTTTTTTCTATTCGATAATGAAAAATTATTTTATGAACGAAGTAGGAAAAAATTTATTTTGGAAACTTGGATAAATGATTGCGGTTCATCAAAGATCATTACTAGATATAAAGTTGCTTGTGACTCGCCGGAAGAAATTTTCAGGATATTAAGCGTAAGAGGCGATTTCTATGCCCCAGTTTTAAAAGTTTGAAAACTAGAACTCATACCTGCATGAAAATGGTTTGAATCACGCAATTAAGTAAGAGATGACGGAAAGAAACGAGAAAACTCCATTAATTGGTAAGAAATGCAAATTTTATTTATAAAAATATTTTGGCACATTACATACGGGTAGATTTATCCACAAAAAAGTGTAATACATGTGTAATAGATTAATATTTTAAAGAAGTGGTAGGTAATATTTTATAAAAGCTTTAGTCACCATAGCTACAACTTCAATTAAAAAAAACCGCAAGTGATTGAAGTACTTGATGTGAAACTTCATTTATGGTAATTACGAATATGTTGATATTATGTTTGTGGAAATCAGAAATGGATAATTTCTTTAAAAAAGAGAGTAAAAACGAAATAGTTTTGCTACCACTTTTTATATTTTTGCATGAATCGCCCAAGTTTCAATATATATATATATATATATATATATATATATATATATAGGATTTCTCTTTAACTAGTTATAATTTTTAAAACTTGATATTAAATTTAAATCTAATTTATTATCCATTATTTATTTAATATTTCAATTGTTTTTATGAAGTTATCTATTTAAAATGCTTGTGAATAAAAAAATTTCAAAATAATGTTTCCTTAACAACAATATAATGAATAAATTACGAAAAGGATATGATATATTGCATTAACATTTCGAATCGGAGAAAAATAACTGAATTCACTTTTTCTTGGATAACAATGGCCTTATAACACTTTCAGATTTGATAACTTGAGGTCTGGGATAACACTTTCAGCCCTGTACAAGGGTATAATTAAATTGTATATTATTTATGTTGACGTGAACTAGTTTGCTATTCCGAAACATTTTTTCGAATATTTTCATTTAACTATCAACTTTTTATGCCTTTCTCAGCATAAAATATTTAATTTAAAAAATGCAAGATGTAAGAATGCGAATGCTCCACACACTACTGTTTTTTTCCCCTATCGCACTACTCTACACTACCTTTTTTAAAAAAGTAGCGCACTACACCACAAACTGCAAAAAAAACCCATCTACAGTAGTTTCAATATTTGTAGTGCACTACTCCTGATCACCACTTTTTTTAAAAAAAGTAGCACACTACACCACAAACTACAGAAAACTCCGACTACACCGCCATCAGACTGAATTGAGAGTAGGTCTTATGTCCACGTGTAACAAACACATCCTGAATTGAGAGTAAGGTGTGAAGCACTGCAGTTTACTAGAATATTAGACCCGAATTGAGAGTAGGGCTAAATTCTTTTCACACTACCGTGATGTCAACTCATCGATTTGGGCGAGGGGGAGAGCGGTTTAATCAGTCTACCCCAAGGCGCTCTCCCAGGCCTGATCCCTCCGACTCCTCACTGACGAATGAGGATGAAATTAGACAGAAAACCTACTACGAAGTGGACTTGATGATTTGCGAAGGTGTCACTCCAGACATGATCATCTACTGTGCCAACAACATCCTCGAATGTACACCGAAAGGATCTCCTAATCCCTACATCAGAGAGAGTGCATTCCGCCAGGAATGCCTCATTGAAAAGAGTATGCAGATTTCAGCCCAGTCAACCCCAGTGCCAATCAGATGCCGGGAATCCTCAGAGTCGACCAATCAGATCGCTAGTACACCACCGGAGGACCCTGAACCAGTACCCGGGACCACTACCGACACCCCTGCGGCAGCCTCTCCCTCCTGCACTCCCGTACGAAAGAAGCAGAGAAAAGCTAACCCAAATATTCTTCCTGTGGATACTTCACCACCAAAGATTCCTTATCCTCCGGCGGAGGAGAAAATCGTAGTCGAGAACTCAAGATCTGCTAAACTCCTGTTTAGAGGCTTCTCGGCTGCGATTACACCAGACATGCTTCTTGCTGAGATAGAGACCACCGGCTTCAAACCAATGCAGATTTTCCAACTGAGACGGAAATTTGCTGAAAATAACAACAAAAAAGACTTCGTAGTTTTTTGCAAAGATGACAACAACCTCAGCAAATCTTTTCTGAATTCAACCAAGACTTTCGTCGATCGACCAATCAGAATTGAGCACTTCCGTGGTGGGCGTGGCATGATTCAATGCTACAACTGCCAGGGATTTGGCCATACATCAGAGATGTATGGCCATACTCAGAGCTCCTGCACCAACAATTCAAGATGTGTTAAGTGTGCGGGACCACACCGCAGCTACATTTGCACCAAAGACAGATCAACGCCTGCAAAATGTGCAAATTGTGCCGGCGACCATACTGCTAACTTCACCGGTTGCCCATCCAGACAACTGAAAAGGCGCCAACAATCCAGAAGAAAAACCAGAGCTGATATCCCTAAAACCGTTCCACCTAATATTTCACCTGCAGCCAGATCTCTTCCACTCTTTGCCGAGTTGGAAAAACTCATGGACAATCCAGAAGTGCTTGCACTTCTTCAGAACTTAGTAATTTCAAAAACTTCAAAAATATTCACATCAGATCAAGCTTAGCCAGCCATCCAGCCAATCACCGGGCAGAATCCATCAGGCCACGCCCACCACCTTCTTTTTCTTCTCTCCCTTTCTTCTAGGCTCACTCCGATGCAACTAACTACCTGAGACCACAACTTCATATGGAAAGGTAAAAGGCCCCTTCGGGGCCTAAACGCCTTGTGAAATCCGAGACTCCGACTACAATAGTTTCAATACCTGTAGTGCACTACTACTGATCACTGGGTAGTAGTAATTAAATTACTTATAATCTATAAAACCAAGAATGAAAAAGAAAAGTATAAGTTTTGATAGCAATTAAAATATAAATATTAAATCTTCCAGAAAAGCTGGAAATATTGGCAGGCATGATGTACCTTTTTCATGTTTAGTAGATTGCTTTGCAAAAAATACATGTCTGGAAAAAAAAACTTACAAACAAGATCGTGTGTTATTTTCATCGATTTATTTATTTCAGAAAAAAGGACATTTTACCTGCAGAAAAGGTATGTTTTTGTGGCTCTTGGATTCTTTGGAATTTGTGAATAAAAAAATTTCAAAATNAAAAAATTTTTTTTAAATATTTTATTTTAATAATTTTTGTTATTCTTTTCATTAATCTTTATTTTCTATGTTTTCTCTGTATTATTATATATGTTAGAAATATGGTGAAAAAAAATATACAGAGATATGTTAAAAATGAAAGAAAAAAGAAATAAATTATTAAAATAAAATACTTTTAAAAAAATAAAAAAGATATATACGATAAAACTATATATACACGTATATAAAAAAGCAGGAAAACAAAATAATGAAAAGATATGCTCAGCTCATACGATTATATTCTGAATATGTATTACTACCAATATGTATTACTTTGGGAAAAGATTATACGTTCGTAAATTGACTTTCCCCATTTCTTGGTTTATTAGAAATACATACAGTTTGTGTGTTCAATTTAGGCTTATAAACATTTGTCAAATAAGAAAGACAGATAGTACTAAGATACATCTAGGACAACCACGAGATTCGAACCGGCTACCTCCACGAATTTTTTTTAACTAAACGAAAACTATCACAGACATGCTTTTAATGAAATTTTACTTTAAATTTAATAAAACGTGACTCCTCTCTTTCTTTTGAAAGCTGATCGTTTAGAAAAATACTTAATTTAGTTTTCTATTCATTTGACATTACTGAACGTGAAGTAATAAAAATAACATTAAGAAAAAATATGAACAAATATACTGAGCATACATTTGATAACTTTCGAAAAAAATGACCTTAAAAACGATTTTCCTCTTTCTAGGGAGAACAATACAACTGGAATTCCAAAATTCAAGGAACCATTCTTGGAGCATTTTTCTATGGATATATTGTAACTCAAATACCTGGGGGTGTCATGGCAGAAAAACTTGGAGCGAAATGGTTATTCGGTTTCGGTATATTAATAACATCTGTGTTCTCTTTACTGACTCCTTTAGCGGCTGGTTGGAGTACCTCTGCTTTGATTGCTGCCCGGATTATCGAAGGACTCGGCGAAGTAAGTTAATCAGAGAGAAACATTATTCTTAAACAAGTAATGTAAATGATATGATATTTTAACTTTCAAAGATGACTTTCTGGCACGTTTAAAACCTTCATTTTGGAGCCTTTAAAATTTTTTTTTGAGCAAAGCAACAGTTATGGCGATGGTCACTTCAGCTCGACACACCGGAGCAACGTCGGTTAAGGCGTTGCTCGCACCTCTGGTAGGGAGTTAGTGGTCGTGAATTCAATCCTTTATGCAACAGTTGTGCATATGCAGAAAAGGTTCAGGTTAAATTTGACAAGACATAATGTCCTTTTGTTGGTATGGTGTGGTTAATTTAGGAGAAGAGTACCACCTAGACGCTGTTCTTATCTTTTTGTCAGAGTGAAAATTACAGGGCCTTATATGTTGGCCAATTAAAGATAGAGCTGTTGTAGACGGGGCAAAGAGTTTAGTCATGGTTGTGGGTTTGATCTTTAAAATTTGGGGACAATAAGTAGGCATTTTAAGAACCCTTCATAAGACCAAAAATTATAAACCGGACCAATTTTACCTGATTTAAAACGCAATACTATTGTGGCCACTGTAGCTCAGTGGTTAAGGCACTGAACTGCATTGTGAAGAACTAGGGTTCGATCCTCAGTGGCAGCCTGTCACCCACACTGCTTCAGATCGATGTAAACCAGCTTGTTTTAGGCAGCATGTGCACAGTGTTGATCATATTGCTGCAATCATGCCATTGGTCACGAAATTGTGGAACCTTAACATCAATAATCTCCTCGCCCACAACTGGCTGTTGCGGGAATGCTTCACTACTGTGGGAGAAAATTTGATTACCTGATATGTTTAATTAAATTCCTGAAGTAGGACCTATAGATTACACTTAGTTAACAATCAATTAACGTAATTTTTATCGCTATTAAAAAGAAAGAGCAATCATGTGCGTTGTTATTTATTGATTTTTATTAAGTGTTGTGAGCTTGTTAAAGTTGTTCTTGCCTACAAGAATATGTCTTTCCATTACTTTAGGCAAATAATTTTAAACAAAACATTAAAAGTTAAATAGACGTATTTGCAATATATTGCGAAAATACTATGTTACTTTTATCAATAACTGATTTAATTCCGCATTAAATGAAAAATATTTCATGAGCACCGGTAATGCTGTTGGACCAAAATGTTTTAAAAATACAATTTTCATTACCCGAAGAAATGCAATAACTGAAGCTTAGCCAACATCAATTTAGTTTAAGCTTAAATGACTTACCATGCTTTCCTACGGATACTTACTAATTGTTGTGTTTTCGCAAAGTGTTTTGGATGAGGTTGGCTTATTAATTCCGATTGTTGCTTATCCTTAGGGAGCAACGTTTCCAGCCATCAACCTTTTGATCAGCAAATGGTCTCCGAAACTTCAAAGAAGCCGAATCTCAACAGTCATTTTTTCAGGGAATCAAATAGGAAACGTCATAGCCATGCCTGTCTCTGGATTGCTGTGCAGCACAGATTTACTTGGAGGATGGCCCTCTGTCTTTTACTTTTTTGGTATTTTGTTTTGAATTTTATTCAATATTATTCTTTAAAGTATAAATTTGAGGGTTTTTTTAATCTAAAAATAAATTAACCCTTTTCCCATCACTACAAAGTACGATTCCGACAGCCAAACGGATTAATGTCTGATAAAACTATAGTAAAAGTTCTTTCTAATTTTCTGCTTTATTTCATATATAAAATTATTTTGAAAAAATTGCAAAAACTGGATGGTATGATTACAATAAATTTCTCATTTTGTTCATAAATCTTATGATTGCGGTTTATTCTAAACAAAGACTCAAATTGAACCTAACATCAGCCAAATTAGCTTAGCATACATGTCAGCACTTTATAGATATTCTCGAATTAGTGTGTTAGACTCCACACAGATCAGCTTAAAAAATAATTCTGTTACATTATAAGTACTATGAACTACTTTTAATCAAATTTTGTAACATTTATAAAAAATATTTTTTGTTATTTTTGCAGGAGCTTTAGGATGTTTCTGGTTTCTGCTGTGGAGCATTTTTATGTATGAATCACCAAATCGTCATCCCACAATATCCGAAGAAGAAAAGCTTTTCATTGAACTGAACAAAGACAAACACATGGTATGAAAAAGTTTAAAATGAATAAAACTATCAAAATCATTTGTAATTACTTATGAATAAAAAGGACGAAAAATTGGTCAATAAAAGGTCATACGAGGCTGCCGACTTTAGACGCCTTTTGAGAAAATTTCATAAGCGGTAGATAAGTTTCTGTTTTCATGCAGCATTCTTTGTTTTTGAAATGTGATTCTATTTGTTCAAATAATCTTTATTTGTGCAAAGATTCTCTTCCCCATAGTTACCACACTGCCTGCTGGCCACAAAGAACTCACACAATGCTAAATAATTTACGATGGATGGAATTGGGGCACAGCTAACATAACAAGTTCAATTCAGTTCAGCTCAGTTCAAACACTCTCATCAAGCAAAAGGTCAGCTGACAGCAATGTGTAGGCCTGCCACTTACTACGCTCTTTGTGTAATATATAACAGAGTTTTAGACATTTGAAAACCGAAGTTTTCATTGTTTCTTGGTTATTTCGCCAACATACTATTAAGAGCCTCGCCAGGTAGTAACTGAGACAAAGTGGCTTCGCATATGAACTTTTAAATTATTTATGCGAAAAATAAGATTTAATGAATAAAAAATAAGACACTAAAACATTAACTTTGCTACCACTAGAATAAATGTTTACAAAATGTGTAGAAAGTTGGCAGACCTGCATAATACTACTGCTCCAGCACTCTCATGGGCAAACATTTAAAATGTTAGCACAGAAGGGATGTCACGGGCGGCTATAAATGTAAGAAGTGGTAAAGTCTATCAATTCATTTGTATTTATTTAATCTAATAAATAATGCAATCAAAACTACCATCACGATTTACATTACAAAATATTCATATTTAAAGTAAAATCTTGCCTTATATAATTTTTAATTTTAAATTGAAAAATATATGCTAAAAGAAGTAATTTTGTAATATATTTGTTTCTATTTGTTAGTCACCACTTCTTAAATTTTTAGTCACCTGTGGCATCCCTGTACAGTTGCCAAAAATTCTGAAAGCTTTAATTTTATTTATCAACTAACTAGTATATCTGTATTAGAGATGAGTTCGGGCTCACTTTTGAAGGTGTGAGCCCGAGATACATAGCATTACATAGATCCCGAACCCCAGATATATGTCCGATAATTCTGTTAGAACGTACTTTTGCAGACAAGAACCACATTTTCACTTGAGGATTACCTCTCTACTCGTTAACGCTCGTCAATCCCCAAATGGTGTTCACTTTACATCATTCAAGAAACATTGAATATTAGTTTTTTTTCCTTAGCAAATAGGACCTTCCCCTGTGCTATTTGAAGTCCGTAAGTTCGTCACACTTAATATATCTACATTTCGCTCACGTCAGCCCATCAGAGAACTACGGCCAATGCTTGGCATTGATTGCACGGATAGAAACTCCGAAATAACTAAAACAATTAAAAGCAAAAAATTAAAATCTTAAACTAAGAATCTTAATCTTAAGCCTCACTCCGAACAGAAGAAGCTAATTTTTTAAATAAATTTATCTAGATTTTTATTCAAAATAAATTTTAATATTTTTATACTTAATAATTAATCAAACATATTTTTTAAAAATTATTAAAAAAAAGGTTTCTTAAAATTTTACTATGAGTCCGAGCACGAAACATCTTTTTTTAATCAAAAGCCAGAGACCGCCCCGAGTTTAGGCTAAGCCCATCTCATCTCTAATCTATATGCATAGCAAATTTCGCCAAAATATGTATTTTTTCTGCAAATGTAGGATATCTATTTAAGTAAGTTTTCTTGTTTATTTTAAAATCAAGAATATGTTATGTATTTTAAAATTTTACTGCAGAATAAAAATGAATTCGGAAGAAAATTTTACGAAGCATTCTATTAATTTTCCATGAATTACATTTCATCGGCATATCAATTTTTCATATCATAAATAAACGTTTTGTCATAAAACTACCTTACCATTTATTTATATTTCAGAAATCTGAAATACCTTGGAAAAGTATTCTCACGTCCATACCTGTATGGGCATTGGTAGTTGCTCACATCGGTTACAGTTTTGGTTTTACAATTTTGTTCACCGAGCTGCCAACCTATCTCAGTAACATCCTTCATTTTGATATAAAATCTGTAAGTATTTTCTAGCTACCAGCGTGTGCTATCACTTTGAAAGAAATTTTGAAGTGGTAGCACAATAATACTTAAATTATTAATATTTATCTAAGATTTTTTTTCACCAACTCTTAAAAACAATATAGTCTTGTTAGTATATATTATATACAGATGTTTAAGTTAAGGAATTAACACGGCACGGTAGGTCTTAAACAATTTAAAAGTTAATTTGAAAATTAACCTATGAAAAAATACTAACTTATCGTACTAGATTTAAATCTGATTTCACGAATTTTATTACAAATTAGGTAGTGGTTCATAAATTAATGCAAGGAATTATTACTCCTATTAAAGGCATCATAAAATAGTTTTTATGTTAATTTCTTCTGTCTTACCCTGGTTATAGCCACTCTGAAAATGTCACTTACGCTGTTCTTCCACTCAGCTCTTTAAACAAGAGTATTGTTAGGGTATAAATATATTTCATTAAACTAATTTATTTTAATTAAAAGTATTTATTAACGAAATAACAAAGTCTTGACATATAGGTAAGATACTATTTTCACTGAATAGAATAAAAAAAAAATAATGTCAAAGGGAAAAAAGGAAATAAAAGAATAAATATTTAAGCCATCTTCAAGAATATGAAAATATTGATCAATAAAACATACCTGCCAACTTTTACGCATTTGGCGTAAAATTTTATTTCTATATTTAAAGTGGTAGTAAAATGTCTGCTTTCTTTATATTCCTTGCATTTATAAACTTAATTTATAATCTTTTTGACCATCACTATTTTTATAAAAATTAATCTTATATATTAATATACAATGCAGTTTCGGAAGTCTGCATAAACGTTTTCAAAATACTGTTATGTTTCTACCTAAAATTGTAACTTAAAGTCCATTATGCTACCACTGGGAAAAATCATCCTCGAAAAGATTAAAAGTTGGCAGGTATGATAAAAGGTGGCGTTCAAGAATAGAAACTCCATACTTCTAGATTGATAGTTACTGTCGTAGCATAGTTTTTTCAGCTTACCGTTGAAAGTAAATTCAAAGAATGTGTTTGCTTTAAATCTGAATAATTTAATGAGTCATAATGGTAGTTACAAGTACCTTATGACGTAATGAATTTGAGTATTATTTACGGTGGAAAAATTAAAGAGATTATAAATAAATAAAAACGAGTTTCTACCACTTTTTATAGATTAAATGGCTCGTGGCCTTCGTGAATGAACTTCCGCGACGTTAAGCAGAGGCATGTAACTAAATTATAGTTTAACACGTTCACGCCGGGGTGACCCACCGGTGGGTCACGCTAGATTTTCTCATCTTGGCAGCGCACCGGAGTAAAAACTGGTAACAATAAATTTCATTTTTTAGTTTTTTTCCGGGAATAATAAAAATGCATGACTACCAATTGTTTTTAACAGATGCAATTTTTATTTTGAATTGCTTCTTCGCTGTGATACAGTGAATTGTTATTGTTGAGAATAGATTAACTCCTCCCTAATATTATCTATTATTGAAACAGTTCTTCTACCAGTATTTTCACTTTTCCCGGCGTGAACGTGTTAACATTTCTTATATATAACGCCAAGTTACAGGTAGAAAAATGTGAATGAGTATAAACTAAATCAATCATGGAAAGTCAATTTTATTTACAATTGCATTTCGATTAGTTATCTAGATTGGGATTAGATAGTTAGATTCACTCCCACTAAGGAAATAATTCCTCGGAAGGAGTAAAAATTCTGCTTAAGTAAATATATATGTGTCACTGTGAATATCCGAAATGGGAGGTTGTTGACTTCCACCGATCAATGTTGACAATCTCATAGGCGCTTTGGTAAATGTCTGAAATATATACTAGGTCTAGTTAAGGTATACCCTACATTAATGTTTATAAGGCTCAGTGCCTCTGTCCGATATACATTTGCCCGATATGCCCTACATCAATGTTTTTTTTTTAAGGTCAAGTGCCACTGCTCAGTATGCATTTAACTGGTACTCTCAACACAAATGTTTCTCCTACTCTATTCTTAGCAGATATTAAAATATCGAATAAATATAATAATATCAACGAATGAATTAATATCAAATAGGATATAACAAGTATTTCAGACATTCACCGAAGCGACTATGTGATTGTTCACCGGGGAAAGTCGACATTCTCTTGATTTCGATCATTCACGGTGACATCTTATTTGTTTTTATTATATTTTATTTACTTGTTTTATTTATAAGTGCAAAAAATGCGAATATCGTACTTGTAAATTGCACATTTTTGAATTTAGAACGGGTACTTATCGGCATTACCGTACATAGCACAAGCTCTAAATGCATGGTTAGCATCTATTGTTGCAGATAAACTTCGAGCATCCGGGCGTCTTTCCATTACAGCTATACGAAAATTGCTAAATTGTATAGGTAAGGGTATATGTTTATTATAAAGAAAAATATAATCCTGTGTACTTGATGGTATAGTGATTGATATAAATTTTTTCACGAAAGATTCATAGTTTATTGAAGGTGTCCCCTGCTGACATAAATTCCTCCCCTGAGAATCCCGAATTTTCTCCGTGCTGCATTTAGTTTTTTATCCATGAAAATCTTGGGTTTAAAAAAAATTGCTCGTATAATTTGTTATATTTTTTCGTATTTTTTCTCAAAGAAAGAAAATATTATACTATAATTCATAGTCAGCTGAGTTTTGCTTTAGGGCTTGTATGTTCACCTGGAAAATATTAAGAAAAAATAAAAACTTTTTTTCTTTTCTTTTTCTGTCTTTTTTCGATGCGGGAAATTTTAGATTTTTATCAAAAGTCATATTAGCAAATCTTTTTATAGATTACTGCCACATTGCAAACAATGTTCGACGCCAACCTTGAAAAATATTAATAAATAAATATATTTTTTTTCTATTAGTCTAAATGTTTTATAATATACATTTCGATAAAAATGCTTTTAATCTATGCAAAGATGCGTAAATTGTCATTATACAATATATATATATATATAGTAGTTTTACGTAGTTTTAAGGTGGTTTTCATCCTAGTTAAAGTTTTTTCCTCTATTTTATAAGGTCTCAGAGGAAAAGACAAACATTAATAATAATAATTGGTCTATTAAATGGGTCTAGAAAATTTTACCACTCTCACGCTTAGTTACAGGGGAAAATGTCTAACTGTTATTTAATGCCCACTTGAAATAAAAATGGATTAAAAGACAGGGTGTGAATTTTAAACCGTGAGAAAGTTCCGTTTCGATTTGAATAATAAATTAAGAAAGGATTTGCGGAAAAGGAATAACATAAAAAGATTAGTTGAACCCTTTTATGTTATATCCCACTTCCCCAAAAATTTTAATCACCATCTAAAAGTTTAAAAAAAAATTATATCCCTGAAATAGAAGCACAATTAAAATGAAAAGGATAAATTTTTTAACATTAATATACACTGAAGAGCCAAAAAAAACTGGTACAGGCATGAGTATGCAAATAAAGGGGTATGGAGCCAATCAAAGTACAGCGCTGCGATCATCAAAGCGTATATAAGACAAATAGCATTGACTCCGATGTGTTATGTGAACACTTTAATAATTCCGATTGTGTTATGTAAACATATTAATAATTTATTAAATATGCGCATAGATTAAATGTAGATTTAATCTGACCACCGCCTCTGCAATTTCACCACCATTATCCACTTACAAAACGCCATTATTCCAGGTGCCCACGGGCATAATCATCGATGAAAGTGTGAAATGTCCGCCTCGCGAACAGGTACACTGTAATAGAACTCAGTTCAAGTTCAAGATAGCATTGATCGAATCCATGCCACGTTGTGTTGCGGCACTTCTGCGTGCTCGCGGGGGCCCTACACGATATTAGACAGGTATACCAGTTTTTTTGGCTCTTCAGTGTATAAAACTAACATGAATTATAAGAAATACACATTTAAACACATGTAGTATTTATTAACATAATTGAAATGTTCTAGAAAAGAAATCAGCAGTAGCGCTATAGGCAAATTTAAGAGCTTGATTNATGTTCGCATAGATTAAATGTAGATTTAATCTGACCACCGTCTCTGCAATTTCACCACCATTATCCACTTACAACGCCATTATTCCACGGGCATAATCATCGATGAAAGTGTGAAGTGTCCGCTTCTCGAACAGGTACACTGTAATAGAACTCAGTTCAAGATAGCATTGATCGAATCCATGCCACGTTGTGTTGCTGCACTTCTGCGTGCTCGCGGGGGCCCTACACGATATTAGGCAGGTATACCAGTTTTTTTGGCTCTTCAGTGTATAAAACTAACATGAATTATAAGAAATACACATTTAAACACATGTAGTATTTATTAACATAATTGAAATGTTCTAGAAAAGAAATCAGCAGTAGCGCTATAGGCAAATTTAAGAGCTTGATTTTCCTTTTTAACTATTTTTATGACAGGTTTTTCTTTGTTTGAAGTCCTTTATTTGAAGATCACAATGAAGTTATAGACCAAGAAGTATCATTCCTCATAATCACACAATTTAAATGAACTCTTCAATCAAGATGAGAAAAATTATAAACAGTTTAAAAATTCAAATATTCATAAACATGACAGATAAAAATTTGAAAATACAAGCGATATGAGGTATGAAAAGACAAGTTGACACTTTTTGTTACAGGAAAAATTTCAATCATCAATTACCGACATCAGTATTGTTTACTTTTTTCTTCCTTTTTATGATTTATTTTTTGTATTTGTCATGTCAATAGCGAAATATTTGAAAAAAATTTTGTTTTTTGAATTTCATAATCAGTCTCAAGAATATTAGAAAATTCGAGATTATTTTCAATTTTGCTATTTAAAGTATGTATTTTGAGCGTTTTTGTATATTTTTTTCTAGGATTATTCGGACCAGCTGTATGCCTGATTATAATAACAGTATCTGGGTGTAGACCAGAGCTTATTCTTGGTCTGCTGTGCATAGGCATGGCTTGCAATGGCTGTATTTATTCTGGTTATCATGTCACCCACATAGATATGTGCCCAGATTTCGCAGGTAAAATTCTATCAATGGATTTTTCACAGTTCATTTACTTTGAGAATGCTATTAGGGACAGAAGTTAAAATATTCGTAATGGTGTTATTCTCAAAGTCTTCAAAGTTGTTAGGGAAATGTCCTTAATGATAAATAGTTTTCGGATCCAAGTTATATATTTGTTATGGGGCAAGTTATATTATTGGGTGATTAGAAATCAAGTTTCTTACAAATGTAATTGGCACTTTATAATGCAACCTTTTGATTGAAAAAGTCTTTAATATTCTCTAAATAGTGAAACTTCTCGGGAAATCCACAGTAAAATAGTTTTTAATAGAGGTAGGTGGTTCTTAAGGGTCACCTCCTTTGACTTCAAAATTGTTATCAAGTGAACATGATTTACCACAAGCGGATGTTAGTGCGGAAAAACCGAATTTGCGAGCGTCATGAAAATTGATTAAATGAATAAAATTTAGCGTCCATAAAAATGATTATGTACTAATATAATTACGTGAAAAAACAAATTTACCTGTTAGGAATGATAGAAATATTTCAAATAAATAAACAGTTATGTTTTTATTTAAGTTTGCATTTAATTTTATATCATACAAATTAGTTAGCTTTAAAAAAATGAGAAGTCTGTTTGTCAGAGATGCTTAGTTTGTTTTTAAATTAACTTTATTTCTTTGTAATTTAACTTTAAACTAACTGTAACACGAGGTTGCAGATCTCCTTCAGGGATCGTTAAAAATAGCTTTCTAAATACGAGCAGAGATGCTAACAGTTCTGGATTAAACAATGTATATTTTTAGAAACGGTTGAGAACTCCAACTAAAATGTGCATATATTAGGTAAATTTTGTTATTTTTTTAAAGGGTTGGCGTGTTATATATATGTTTGAATAATTTATAAGTAGTAGTGAGTAAAAACCCTATTAGGCGTATTTATTTAACCGAGAATCCTACATATACATTCACTGTCCGGAGCAAGTTGGCATCTCTGTAAGAGCCTCACACAAAAAATTTGAATACATTTTAATCTATTTATTTGTTTGTGAATGTTTTTTGATTTGATATTTTTTCGTGTTTCTTTATTTGAACTTTTGTGCATTTTGGGCGGAAGATTGCCCGATCTCTGGGAGAGGTTTTGATGGTCCCTCTGAAAAGTTTTATTTTCAACGCAAAGCCTGTAGAAAAAATTCCGCGCCTCCCAAAAATGGTCGTAAAAAGATGAGATCACTACATGGAGGTGGTCTTATTGTATTTTATTATGTTTTTTCTTCATAAAGAAAATTTTATGCGAAAATTAATTAAAATAAATGAATACTAATTTTATAATTTAATTGCACAGTAAAAAAATTCGAATTTCATTTTGAAATTATATTTTTTTTATGTTGTTTCAAAGCATAAAGTTATAAACCATAACCTGAAATTTGAAAGGAAGAGGAATTAAAGAATTTCAAAAACAAAAACATTTATTTTTTATTATGTAGCGTCACATTTTTATGTCATTATATTTATTTAATTCTTAAAATGGTTTACAAAGTTCAAAGGTTTACGTGCATATTTTAATTCTTTGTAATAATTGTTAATTAAGTAAACTTATATAACTGAAGTGTTTAAGAAAGCTTTTTGTTGTTTAAATTTAATTACTTTTCAGGTACTTTATATGCAATCACAAATTGTGTGGCCAATCTTTTTGCGCTTTTTGGTCCTATCATCGCTGGTTATTTCACCGCTAATGGAGTAAGTAAATGTAGCATATTTTTCTCATTATATATATATATA